GTGAAGGGGATCGACGGAAAATCTTCAATCCGACCGATTCTCTGCATGAATCGAGGATCTNTGTCTCTNTGTGAAGGGGAATCGAAGGAAAGGGGAATCTCAATCGTGTCTTCTTTCTCTCGCAGCCGGCAATAGCGAAGGCCACACACAGAAACGGCGAATCCGATGGTTCAGAAGGTGAATCGTCTTCAGCCAGCGATAGCGACGGCGGTTCAGAAGATTCCGACTCGTAAGTACCCAGATCTTCGATTCTCAGTTTTCCGAACATAAATTTTTGATCTTTTTTTATGTTGGGATTAGGGTTTTTGTAGTTGATCGCTGATTCTGATTCATGGGTTTTGTTACAAGAAATCGAAGAAGGATTTCAATACTGCTATTCTCGAGAGGAAGAAGTCTCCGAATCGACTTGTTGTAGACGAAGCCACTAACGATGATAACTCTGTCGTCTGTCTCCATCNATCCACCATGGAAAAGNTNCAGATTTGTCGTGGTGATACGATTCTCATCAAGGTTTGGTTTTTGTTACTTTTTTCATTATACCTAAAGTCTNTNTTNCTTGAATTGGAATTCTCTTGTTGAGTATACTTCTTNTCTGTTTTAGCGTCTTAAATTATGACTTTTGTAGGTTCTGTTCATGGTTTTTGAGTCTAGAATTGTGCTATATTGTCTGTGTCTTGACTATATGTCATTAAGACGTTNTTCNTTTGTAATGATCTGTGTGTCTGANCCTATTTTTTGTTNTGCTTTTGGATTGTCAGGGTAAGAAAATAAAGGATACTGTCTGCATTGCATTGCCCTTGCTTTTGTAGTCTTTTTGAACCTTGTTGATTGTTGAATTAGAGTTTGATTTTACCCAATTTAATGTTCTGATTCTTGAATTTGTTTGTTACATGTGAGCATCAATGGATTTAGCGATTGTTTGGGGAGATTCTCCTGCTTATTGGGATTAGATTTCACTTCCTGAATCTAAAACTAAATTCTCATTTTGGACTCACTTTATATTTCTCTGTTTNTGAGATAATGAAATTGGAGTTGAAGATTGATGTTGTTTATATGTGGAATTATAGGATTAAATGGACTGATTCTNATTGTAGANTGTCTCATTATNTNTTTCACTTTGTTCATTGATCTGTTGTAGACTGTCTCATTGATCTAAAAGCTTAGCTTAGGTTGATTCATGTGTTTGCTAATACTGAGCAAATTGTAGACTNTCTTGTTGTTCATTTATGTTTGTGTTTGGTAATACTGAGAATAGACTTAGTCTACTATGGAGTAATGAGCAGTTAGTTGAGGTTTTAAATTTTGAGCTGATATTTAATTTCTCGTCTGTTTTGATTGTAAACTTAATAAATGATAAAACCTTAACTAATAAGTGATAAAATCTTAACTAACTTTACAAAAACTAAAGTAAAGTAACCACACTGATAAAGTAAGTAACAAATCTGATGTTCACCAATCTGTCTTAAATTTTGTAAACCTAACCCGAAGTAAAGACATATTTGATTGGTCATTACTAACTTGTTTAAATAAACTCATATCTCTATGGAGCAGAACAAGAGCTCCTCTCCAGATTAGGGTTTTTCTGTTTGATCTTTCTGTTTCTTCTTTTCTTTTTGTTTGATCTTTCTGTTTCTTCTTTCTTTGAGAACTACAATGAATATGGATTTTACCATTCCATTGAG